ATTTGTGAAAAAGGGCAATTAACCGCAAGGAAGACCAAGGACTCTCGGACCGTCAAATCGCAGGGGAGTTGGGCCGCAGTCATCATGTTATCAGGAACTCAGGGAATCACGATATGGAATCAAGAAGAGCTCTGGGCATCCTCCTTTGCTCTCTGATCGGGAAAAGCGCCGTACTTTGAGAGAAGCATCAAATTCCACAACGTCGTGCCCGAAAATAAAGTCAACTTTGAGGCTTAACGTCTCGAAGGAGACTGTTCGGCGTGTTTTGAAAAACTCCTGAGTTCACCTACAGGAGGAATATGAGTTACGTACTGTTTCTAACGAAAAACCATCGCGAAAACCTAATTGGCTTTGCTCGAAGATGTTGCCGAACCGATTGGAGTGAGGGTAGCTTTTGGCTGCGGTGCCCTGCTGCTTGTCTGTGTTGCTTTTTTAGTTTTTTTTCTCGCGGTCGTGTTTTCTGATGAGAAAAAATTCAACTGCGACGGCTCCGACGAAAACCGATTCCGCTGGCACGACCTGAGGGAACAAGTTTCATTTTTCCGGGCGGAACTTCAGTGGATGTGATCTCATGGTCTGGGGTGCCATCGCATCAATGGAACGTCTGAAACTGTGCTCCGTATGGAAGAAAAATGAATTTTTTCCGACTATGTAAACGTCACGCGATGAGGTATGCTTCCTTTCTGGCGAAGGATTCGGCATGAAAGTCCTGTTTTCATGCAAGACAATGCACCAATTCATGTCAGCCGAAGCACTCGAGCGTGGTTCAGTCGTCATCAAATCGCTCTTTTGCCCTGGCCAGCGAATAGCCCTGACTTAAACCCAATCGAGAATGTGTGGGGCTTCATGGTACGCAAGATCTATGCGAACAATGCACGATTCCACAATGTCCGTGAGCTCAAGAAGTCAATAATTGATGCATGGCAGCATGTCGACCGAAAACTGATTTAAAACCTCTATTCGAGCATAGACAACCGCATTTTCCAACTTATTCAAAGGAATGGGGCTGCAATAGATTATAGAATTAACAATTCATTCATTTTGTGTACACTTCCTGTTTTATGAATCGATTTGTTTAGTGGAACTACTTTTGGGACATTGTCAAAGTGAGAAATTTTCAAAAAATAAAGAAAATTGAAGTTGCTCTGGAAAGTTAGTTCTCGGTGTTGGCATGCAAATTGGCACTGGTAATTACCACATTTTCTATCTAAAGGCTTTTCGAAAACGTCGTGTAGGGCGGGATATTGGTGCGCATTTATGGAGGGACTATACTTTGTCGGACACAGTGTCATTCTGTAAATGTAATGACCCATCTAGCCCACAGCAGCCAGATGACCACAGCTCACCAAAATATGACTTCCCGACACAGTCCGCTAGATTTTCGTGTGAACACGCAAACATACAAACAATACACACGCACACACAACTTCTGCTTTATATATAGAGAGGAAGTTCACTACTAATTTCATTTAGATTGAGATCAAATGAAACTTTACTCTCTTACTTTTGCTAGCGCCGTCGTATCTACTCCCGTACTTCATCTAGGCTTACGGCTTCGGGTAGCTCTATCGAAGCCATACTGCCCTTAACAGGTATGTCTGTATGCCGTTCTAGAAAAATATTATCCATGGCACCGTCTCACTATCTCGGCTACGCCCGCCCATTGTGCACCGCAAGCGCACTTATGTTGCACTTGATAGCGTGTTACCTGTAATATTGTTGCCCGTAAGCACAGCCATCCTGAAGCTTTAGATCCGTTGCGCTCCATAAAAAAGATTTTTGTCCACACAGGTCTCCAATGTCGGGCTGAACACGCAACTATACAACACACACTTCACACACGCACACACTACTTCTGCCTAATTATAATAGTAGAGCAGAGAAATATGTTTTTTGCCTCTAGACCTTAAGTGTTGTAAACTTATAGTCTCTGTAAATACGCACGATCCATCGAGATGGAATGATATTTTTCTGGCTTCATTAGCCGAATTCTACAAAAAAAACCGCAAAATGCCGAATTTGCTGGAATTACACATTCGTTTACTGTGCCGGGCTATCGCCAATCTGCCCGTTTTTGGTAGAAAATGTTGTCAGTGTAAATGGGCAACCGAAATCATAGTGCTCTCTGTTGCCCGCACTTGCAGACAGGCACTATTCTTATCCTCAGTTTCAAACTCTCACGAATGAGTACTCTCATGCCCACTTTGTCGAATAACGTGCGCTCGCCACTTCTAGAGGATACTGAGAATGCTAGGTTAATGCTTATCACTGGTTGATGAGCGCCATCATTATAGCCAACAACATACTGTGGGCCCACCGAAATATAACTGCGACCACGAGCCCCGATGCGATACTGAGTATTTCGTCTGCACGCCTTCAAACTGCTTATTTTACCAGGCTGATAGCGGACAGGGCACACATTTCTCGCCGGGATTTTTAGGTCAGGCGCCCGTACCCCCCCTCTTTTTTGCACGAAAGACAATACGCACCCCCCCCCTTTACAATTCCTCAAATTTTCCAGCTTTCCCAACTTCCTGGCCCATTTTTTTTATTCCCGAAATCACGAAAACTTCCTATTATTCCCCAAAATAATTTTGCTATTACTCGGGCAGTCCGGAGCTGTCATCGATGCAGCTTTGCTTATAAAATCAGCAGCACAGAATTCGTGCTTCACTGTCAGAGACACGCTATGGTTAGCTCGGCACTTTACACCAATTCTTCGTTTTTTTAAAACACGAGTTTGACATAGCACTGGAAAGAGTAATTTTGCAATTGTGGAACATCTCAGTGTTGCACTCCTCAGAGTTTCTTTTGAATTTCAATGTGCGAACAAAGGGCACCAAAGAATTCTAGCGCAAAAAAGATTCTAAAGAGCCAAAAAGCTCCAGAAAACTTGCAAGTTGTTTTTCTCGGGTTATTTCGGTGCTTATCAAATCCCCTATCGATGGTACTACACAGAAAACCAGACCTCTAATAAGCGTAAACCAATCGACCCGTACCTCTTCTCCGTTACTATGGATAGCTACCATTACGGAAGCCTCACCTGGATGCATTGACCCGTGAGTTTTGAGAGTCCTGCACATTAAAACGTTTTTAATGCCTTTTATTTCTCAGCATAGAAAATAACAAAATTACTTGCTTGTTTACCTTGAGTTATATTTCTAGAGGGGATGAGTTGCAAAAAACAGGGTGCTTCCAACATACCAGAAGAATGATTGACAAAACTGCGACCACAACAAAACTTGGTACGAGCTTTGCTGTGGTCATCTGGCTCGATCGCAGCATCCGGTAACGGTAAAACATTGTGTGAACTGTCAGTAGCTCAACGTATAACGTGAGAGCGGTAATGACATTGAATGTGGCGAAACATGTGAAGGGACCGAATACACGGCACGGACCCACAGGAAGGAAAGCAGTGCCCGAACTGACCGCAAGCAACCTATAACAAATGATACCTGAAGATACCTGAAGTTTTATATCCCTGGAAAACTTTGTTAGAGACTCACTGACCTTCCTTGCAAGAATCCTAACAGGAGCGCTATGACAATCTGAGTGATACAAGTGTTGATCAACATTGCTTTCAAGTTCCAAACAACGCCAGGACTTCTTAAAATGGAAAGTGTTGCTCGAAATAAAAGACCAACCAATTTGAGTGATCATTTTCAGAATACAGAGAGATCAATAGCTGAACCTTCCTCCAGAAACGAGTTTCTTCAAGACCCTTCCGAGTTATGCAGCCGTTCAGCTGGACGCCTTTCTTCATGATTTTTCTCGAAAGCAAACAAGGTTCACCAAACTTACCTATGCGTGATGAGATAAATAAGTAACCCATTAGTAGATATCGCAAATACAAGAAGAATACGTAATAGCAGTTCACAAGAACCGAGTCGAAGGTGAAGAGATTCATTCCATGTTCGGGTATTAACGTTCAAATTATCTAAAGAAAGTTAGCATCGTGCATTGTGCTCGTTTCTGTGTTTCCCTGCCATGGTCAAGCGTGGCGCGGGATTCGCGATGGAATCTAATGAGGGCTGTATGTGCTAATTTTAGTAGTAAACGGGGCAACGGTAATGCTTCGTTGCCTACTGAAGTGCCTTGCCATCTTTTTCCCTCGCATTGAAGCTCTTTATTCCCACCGACTTGGTCCATAAGAAACTAATATACTGTAAAGAAAGGCTATAACACTAATGTATAAGCTACAATAAAGGCTATTCTGCCGAGATACGGTAAAAATATTATCCGCTGGCTCAGAATATCGTCTAATGTGCATTCAAGCGCCACTGCAGCTCTGTTTGGTTGCCAAGCCCATGGCGCGGTTGAATCGATGTCATTCACCCCATCCTATTTCACCTATGTGGAAGGTGGATTTAGGAAGCATCACGAAAGGAACTGGGAGCAAGAGCTCCGAATGACTAATCCCTTTTTAAAATGTTTATTCAGAATGATGACTTTGTAGTGAAGGCGTTATAGTACTCAAGTAATAGGCGCAACCATAGAGGAATGTGCTTCGTAAGCAGGGACAGCATGAGGATGTGCGGAATGGCGATGTGAGTACGACCAGTTACGACCCCCCCCCCCTCCTGCTCTAACTGACAACCAGATGCATGTTCACACGAAATGGCTTCCTGAAATGGAATCTGGACTTTCGAAAGGCGGGCTCTGCCTCGTCGTTCGACAGAACGGAACCAAATGAAAAAAATGGATAACCAGGCGGCAGTATATCGTTCTATACTCGGCTATTATCGATCGCAACGTTGCGACCGCTTTCATTGGAAAAACGTCATTGGAGCGCGGTTGTTGGACCTGCCAACGTCCTGGGGTCTTTTCAAGGGATTATACATATCTCTTTTAGGTGCGCGGCCTTTGAGGAATGGTTAGCAGCATGCGAACGGTTCCTACCGTTGCGTTTTCTACCCAGTTGCAATCTGAATGTTTCCCCGTTTACGAAACGGATGGGTTTCGGATCGGCTAGGGGTAAATGGCAAGCGGGTTTTTATGCTTCACACGAGGATTCTTATTTCGAACGCAATTTCATCAGAAGCAATTCGTCTTCAAAGCGCTAAATCTTCTCTCTTTCCAACACGCTTTACAGTGCTCCTGAAGACCCGCTAGATCAGGAGATATTTAGATGGGTTACCAAAAAGCTACCCTCTGAGCTACTCAAAAGTTTGACTCCTTGTGTGCCATTGTCAGGATACACCTTCGGAAACTTCAGTGTGCCTTCAAAACACATATTTCCCTTCAAATGAGTGAAAGAGGAGCTCGGCTATCACTGATCGATTTGGTCCGAGTGTGCGCCGTGCATTACGCTCCTACGCAGAGGTGGTGGAAAGGTGTAAATTCTGATTTCAGGTGCTTTTATCCATGCAAGCAGATGTTTGTTTAGGGTTTGGAAAGGACAATACGCACGAATCTGTTTGAGACGTATTATTTAGTCATCTACGTACTTACGAGTTCATGCTATTAATTGATATTTATTTATTTATTTATTCTTGCTATATTGCTAATCAATTTTTTATTATTTTGTAGTCCTCCTTACATCCGGGTCTTCTGCAGCTTTCCGTCCGTTCCATCAAACTTAGCAATGACACTTTTGTACTGTTTGATGCCTAGCGAGCCTACTTTTGCGATACTCCCCACGTCCCCCGCGGCCAAGTACGATCCCCTTTCTGGGGATTTCGCATGAAAAGAGGGCTGTTAAACGTAGCAGTAAATCTGTAAAGAATACACTCCCAATAGTTTTCATTTTTTTCACCTTGGCTTCCATAGCTCCACTCATCAATGAAATGTCAAAGCATTGCCCGGCGCTGACTGATCCTTGAGATTACGACCCCCCTATGGGTTTCGCACAACGATGCTGTACCCTGTTCGTAAGGGTATTCAGCTCAGTAAAACTGGCAACATAGAGCAGATTTTAGGAGTGTACTTCTGAGAGGCGCCGATCTGTGTCTAATAGCTACCATCCATTTGAAGGCAAAATTCGTGATGAAATGAAAGATCGTTTTCCGGGAGGTGGATGAGCTTTTCAAGATGTGATGAATGCTTCATTCTTCTCTGCTTCGAGAGGGGAAGTATGGAACCTGTTGTCTACGTTCATCTAGAAATCCGCTAATTATTGGGATCAAACTGCTTACGTCAGACGCTACGTTTTTTGAGAAGAGAAATCAAGGTTCCTGTGAAGAAAACAGATATCTTCTAATTGAGACAATAGTAGATTTCATACAATTGTAGCGAAAGTTCAGAGGAAGCGAAGGAAAGATAATCTTGAACTCAGAGACTCAAATAGGTTAGCATCAGAGATATGATATTCTTCATCAGTGAGCGATCCATGCTAGACTTAGCCTACACAGGTGCGCTCCCACTACAATTCCGCAACTTCAGCTGTTATTGTTTAGGGCGGGTTCGTCCATGGTCCGAATTTTGACATAACTCAGCATTCTTGTGATAATCTACAACTTCAGTAATTGACAAACGATTAAATGAATAGATGACAAGTGGACGGAAAAAGAAATAGCATCATTAGTCAAGCTAAGGAGGGCGCATGGCGAATTGCAGTGCTTGAGCGGTCCAGTGGGCACCACAAGAAGGACAAATATGTCTTTGATGAGAGCACATCATTTAGAAACTGTAGAAACTAAAGTTATAATTCTTTAATACAATAAGACTTCCGCTATAATGGCTGGGCAGGTCCAACGGATGTGGTTCCGCCAATGAGAGACGATGTCTGCCGTTCTACTCGCTTTTGCGCCGCGAAAGTGGTACGAATTATACCTGGTGGGCCTACTTGCTCACGGATGTAGAGCGACTCCGCATCCCCCGCGGAGTGTGCCTCATCAATGACGATTAGTATGAAACGTGCAGAGAAGCACAGAAGAAACAAATTCAGGTCCTAGGTTTCGATCCTCCAAATAGTGGGATTTCTTGCTGGTCAACATATTGCTCGAGTGCTCTTAAATCATGCCCTCAGACAAGCCGATCGGCATTGTGTTCTCCGCACATGCGAACACCATGCGGGACTCTACAAATTGGAACTAATTTGTTATTTTCTGAAAAAATTGTCTCGGAAAATACACTTCCAGCGATGGAACATAGGGACAAACAATGAAGCATTAGAGAACTAAAGAGAGAGTGAATAACAGAACTGTGAGCAAACGACAAGCGAATAGGGCTCCTTGTGGAAAGGGTTTAACACGTTGACGAGGAGCCATTTTCTTCACGACCTGGGCATGGGACTGCACATAGTTAGTAGTTCTGAAATAAATGAATGACTCTTCAAAGTTATCACAAGAATGCTGAGTTGTGGGCAAAAGTCGTGCCCCAGGCGGGAGTCGAACCCGCACCTCACGCTTTCCGGGCGAGTGCGCTATCCGTTACGCCACCAGGGCCGCTTTTACCCTCTCAGCTTAACGGCTTATGCCGTAACCTTACAGCACTCACACGTTTAACTTGGTGACTCTTCAAAGTGTTTCGAGGAATGCCTGAGACGAGGATATGAATCTTGAATTTTTATCACAATCAACCTTTCACTGCACCGGTGTTCCGAAGCCAGGCCACTTTTTACCCTGTATTTCTCTAAAGGCATATTTGGCATAATATTCACCTCTGAGGGTAGCTGGACCTCTTAAGCATAAATTTCGCCCTCGTTTGCACGAGACTGCGTGGCGCTCGCGCTACCGGCGCCGGTGCCACACGCCTGCTCTGTCCACGGCGCGTGTAGGGCGAAACCGGAGCCGTTTCATGCCAAGCGGAGCATAAGGCACTTTGAAGAACACGGCGAGCCAAGAGACAGCTTTTCCGACTGCCCGCGATAATGATCCTCTCTCTCGCTAAGGTTCAGCCTCATCAGAGAAAGATGACAATCCCATAAGAAGGAGGCAAACGAGCAGATACAGTCTCCCCGTGCTTCCCCAGCTGTACCACATTCGAGTGGCCTGGAGTACGCGCTACCGCGTTGGGATCAATGCATGCATGGGCCGTCGCCTGTTATGTGGAAGCTATTAGATAGTTCTGGATGACCAGGCAGAACGTTCATATCCAGGTGATCGGGCTGCCTCGGGGAAGAAGTTTTTATCGAATTTTGCGCCAGCACCTGTGACGTGGGCGCCAGGCAGTTTCGTGACAAGTGACCGTGATATTCGTTTCAGAGGGTCAAGCTGCCCCTAGGGACACGTTTCCTATTAGAACAATACACCGTCAGACAGCACCGTTTAATACTGTCCGCAAGACAGACTGGCTGTCGCCCCACCACTGTCTCGTCGTCAGTGTGTTAATGAAGACCTTGAAACAGAGGCAGGGAAGTGAAAGAAAGTTGTTAGAAATGTTCGTAGGCCTTCGCTTCTCCTACTCTCCGGAGCCTGATAGACGCAGCTCCATAGTAGGCTCTAACTTTAATTGACTTTTACCTTTACTTTTAACTTCTTTTGACTTTTAACTAATTTTAACTTTTATATCCGTGTGAACCTCATAGAGATTAATCCCAGCTCGTAATTGGCTTCAGGATTATTAAAACTAGACTGTTTCCAAGTCCTTCATCAAACTTTCTCCATATACATTTCATTCTGTTTGTAGAGCCTTG